TATATAATTTTTATTAAATTATATTATTATTATATTAAAAAGTGTATTGTAACAAATGGCGATCTTCCTTAAGACTTTCGCGGAGGAAAAATTGATTTCAAAAATTGGTTAAAAAATTCAAAGATCTGTTATCTGATCTTTATAATCTCGTCGAAATGTCTGTAATTATATATCACAAATCTTTTTCAGCATTTCAGGCAAATTGGACAGATCGGAAAGATCGTGAACCAGGACATCTTAAAGCTATCCGCGTGTTTATTCATCTACATCTATAGGAAGCAAAACCTTCGGCTGTGCAAACGCGGCCGCACGTGCGACTTCGCACAGGGGCGGCGCAGCGCCGGATGGGAATGGGAGGGTGACCGAGGGTGGAGAGACATCTCCATGGAAGGGAGTACCCCACGTATCCCTACCTTGCTCCTTCGCTCTAACCGAAATACGAGGTGAGAGAATGGAGGACGGCTAGGTGATTCAGACGCGCGTGCCGTCCCGCATCGGAGACCGACGTTCTCTAACTCGCGAATTCTGGATCTTTTATCCTGACAGTTGTTTATAGTTGTGTGATAACTTTGATTGTGTGTTGAGAAAGTTTTGTGTTCCAGTGAAATTATTACCGGAAATCACAATTGAGTGAAAGATAACATTTTAAATAGAAATAAAAGAAATAATCGATGAAATGTGTAAGAATTTGAAAGAAGTGGATTAAGTATGTCGATTCTCGACATTTGAAAACTTTGGTTTAACATTTGAAAACTGTCAAACTTTCCGAGTTCCGAAAGTTGGGAGAGAATTCTGGTTAAAGACTCTCTTGGAACACTAGATATCTGAAACTTTTATGGCTCTAATAGCATTTGCATGTGAAAAATTCTAAACTTTCTTTACTTGGAAGAAACATTTTAAATTTTACAAAGATTCAAGAGATTTATTTGTGACAAATATTTTATAGGCCTCTCGAAAGACGCATCTACGGGAAAGATTTTTTCTTACAGAGGAATTTTCTTCACAAATCCAACCTTTATTCGAAAAAAAAAACAAACATTTTAGGTTTCCAAAGAGAGAGTCTTTCCAGATCGTCCTCTTCATTTAGAAGAATCATTTTCCGTCTGAAAATCTTCAAAAACAATTCTTCTCACCCTCTTTGCTAGAGGAAATATCCGACGTCTAAAGTTTTTTCGAGATCTATGGACCGCTGAATTTAAAGATCCTGTCAAATGTCTGCGAAGAAGACGAGAAGACCATCGTCGCCGCGGCGTTTCTTTGCGCGGCTCTACGGCCACTTGGAGGCGACCAAGAAAACGGAGGATGACGAGGACGAGGATCACGCGCGGGAAAGTTTGGATTCTTCGCCGGAAATCACGGGGGAGGCCCCCCACGTGTTGCCTGGTTCGCTTGAATCGCACAAAATGTTCCATGTGAGTACAGCCAGAGAGATATCGTGTCTTGTATCTTCTTCTTATAATTAAGATAAATATGGCACCATTTTTTAAAAACTCGCGAATCTCGAAAGTCTACATCTAACCCTCTCGATTAATTTCTTTCGAATTCTAGAAAGAGATTTTACTTTTAAATTTGAATTAATCACATCGAAATCAATTAAATTAAATTGTTATCGCGCATTCTTTTTCTGTCAGATATCGCATTCCAAGGATCCCGAGAAGACGTCGGACGATGCCGCGAGAAGTCAGGTGTTCGAGGACAAGGGAGCGGAGAAGGATTCAATGCTCGCGGGAGTGAGGTTGCCGTTTCTACAAGGATTCTTCCCGAGGGTACCCGGTGGTCATCCATCCTTACACCTGACGCAAGTCGCACATCCCTCCGCGCTGCCGCCGCATCTTAACGGTCTGCCCGGTCATCATCCCGTGGCCGAACACCACTTCCAAGGATTTTCAGCGTTCCGTAAGTTCTCATTGCTCTCTCCCGTCGCAAATTTCAAAATTAATCATTGTAGCGTAATACAAAAATTGAAATTTGCCGAATTAAATTCAATCACAAATTTTTGATATTAATACGCAGTTTAATTTAATCCATTTTGCTTAATTATTTATTTCAATTTAATTTAACTAATTTTGAGTTATTAATAAAGAATTAATTAATGTTATAATTGGCTTTAAAAGTTAGCTGTTTCGAAATATTAAGATGAGTGAATTTTTGGAATATTTATATTTTTAGACCTATTGGCGCATATAAAAATAAAATTTGCGTTTACAATAAAGTTACTTATATTGAAATGTATGAGTGATTTTTTTGGGTGGTCAAAAAACTGGCATTATTGATCGAATTTACGTGTTAAAATGTATTTCTTTACTCAAAATCATGTATTATTATCTCCACAATTTCAGCATAGAGATTTTATCTAACACCGTGCGTTACAATATTTTCGACCAAAAGACATACATTCTGTTCCACCGTACGAGCTGCAACACGGAGATATGTACATGAAAACGCAAGCGATCGCATCGTGCATTTCCAAAGACCTGGTACTCGGACGACACGTCTCTCTCTCTCTCTCTCTCTCTCTCTCTGTAAGCTGAGGATCGGAAGGCGTCTTTGCATTTGAGTATTCGCGAATCGGTAAGCAGACTTTGCGATGTCGCATTATGCGACGTTGAGCGAACGACGCGACCATCGTCCAGAGGAAGAGGATGTAGTGATACTCTTCCTTAATATCGACAATGAATGATTTCTCAGTAGCGACGAATATATGGTACGAATTCCACGCAGAAATTGTTTCGAGAAAAATGACAGATTTTCAAGTTCAGTCTTTTCACGAGATTCTCTCAAAAAGGACGACTTATCGAAGATGACTTATGACATTCTTCCATTCCTCAAAGATAAATGTCAAAAAAAAGAAAAAGTTTTAACAGAGGACATCATAAAACAGGACTCGGTCGGAAATTGTACTATTTTCAAAAATAATGATCATAATATTCCGAAACTCTCTCGAAATATATTTTAGATATTCATTCAACTTTCTGCATAATAGATATGATCCCAAAAACATGTATTTTTAAACGGATATGTTTCTTGTGGAGTTCTATTTAACAAGATATTCCGATCGGAATAAATTTATTTTTCAGCGTGAAAAAACTTTGGATCGTTTAAAAAAACCATTCAAATATAAAACAAACGAGCAAAACTTCCGAACAATTTACCGACAAAATCTCACAAGATTAGAACGAGCGCTGAAAAAAAAAATGAGAACATTTCGATGAAATATCTATATCAATAGTTTTATAACAGATTAGCGAGATATCGCGCGGATGTCCCGCTCCGACGGGATAGCGAGAATTAGCGAATTTCACTCTTCATCTGGAAAGTTTGTCGGGGAAGCCCGCGACAGAGAAAACATTGCACGCGGGAACGAACGCGCGGTTTTATCCCGCTTCGACACCTCGTCGCGTTATTGTGACGAGATTACGAGACGCAGTTGGCCGCCCCTCAATGCGAGATACATATCGCGGTATTCCCTTTACAAATCAGCTCTTCTCCTTCTCCTCCTTCTCCTCCTCCTCCTCTTTCTCTTGCTCTTCCTCTTCCTCTTCCTCTTTCTCGCCGGTCCTTAAGCCTCTCGAGAGCCACCGCCGACTCGACTCGCCGGAAAATATTGTGCACGCCGGGTGTTCGTGAGCCTCGCCTCGCGAATTGTATCGCGCCGGAATCCGCATACATACTTGCGTATCCTGATTTTGATCTCCGTGATCTCACAATTTGTCCCAAAGAATAGGAATATTCAAGGGGAGATAGATATAAATTTATATAAGATTATATATCAGCAATTTTTTCTCATTTTTTTTGCAAACTTTACTTTTTCGGTGCAGTATTTATTCTTCTAATCATTTTTCAATTATTATTTATCATTTTTTCCTGTATATACGGACAGAGATTATACTAACAATAAGATTACTTAAGATTATAGATTTTTTCCCGAGAAGTTGTTGAAGAATTTTTCGTTTTACATATTCCTTCAATTATGATGTTCTCTTTCTCACACATTTTTTTCTTCCTTGAAATCTATCATACTACTCTAAAGGATTATAAAATTTAAGATGCAATCAGGATCTCATATCCACTTTGGGCCGGATTGAGCGAAGCCTCGGGAAGCCACTTCCGGTGTCGCTTACCGGCGCGTCCTAATTATTCTGTCACGTGGCGAGGATGAAATTACAGCGCGTCTAGATTTACCTCACCTGGAAGTGAGGTATACCTTGTATACCGAATATGCGCAAAAAATAAAGATGAAAATTTAATTGAAACAAACCATGACACGTGTACATCTTCCAAATCATATCTCGATATGCCAATTATTGAAAGATCCACGGAGTCTGTATATTTCGGGGTTGATGTCACGATCATTTGTTACTCGAGTATCCAGGTGTTGGGGGGGACTCCAGGAAACGAGATATATAGGCTTCGTCGCATTCGACCGTCGTAATCGTTTCACGCTGATCATGAAATCATTAAACCGTTCGTTTGAATAGACGAATTATAGCCACTTTTTATTTTATTTTTCTCTCTCTTTCTCTCCCTCTCTCTCTCTGTCTTCGTTTTTCCCCGCCTAATACTTGATATAAAAATACGTTTCGTATATTCTCAGAATTCTCAGAAATTTAAATACATACATTCTCAGAAAGTAGACCAACGAAAATAGATCTTTATTCCTGCAATGTCTTTTAAACGTCCCTCGATTTTTGTAATAAATCGGGTTCGTAAATAAATGAAATCGAATATCCTATTTATGGATATCACATATATAAGTATGACGGAAAATCAGAGTTTTTTTCTTCTTTTTTTCTTCTAGTGGCACGTAGAAGGAGAAAAGAGGGCCGACCGCGAAGACAGAGGACGACATTCAGCGGCGAACAGACTTTGAGATTGGAAGTCGAGTACCGACGAGGGGAGTACATCTCGAGGGGACGTAGGTTCGAGCTCGCGGCCTCCCTTAGACTCACCGAGACGCAGATCAAGATCTGGTTCCAAAACAGGCGCGCCAAAGATAAGAGGATCGAGAAAGCGCAATTGGATCAGCAGTATCGGTATTGGTTTCTGTTCTCTCTCGATAAATTTTTCATACATCTTTTTTTTGGCATTGAAATATTATATTTGATACCTTTGAATATATTAATAATTCGTTTAGTTAGGGTAGTTAAGTTGATTATTTGCCGATGTTATTTCTCAAAGCTATTTAAACACACAATCCCAATTCCCCGCCTTATTGAAGCTGACACGGGAAAAATAAATGGCCATACATAAGGGAGCATATGGCGGTTCTCGCGTGCATCCCACACGCCTTGTGCATCCCACGCGCTATGCATCCATCCGAATCGTTATCTTGTCGACGTGATGTATTGTATTGCGTTCTCTAATGCGGTTATTAGAGTGCGCGCCTGTTAGTTTCAGTCGTTCCATGCTAAAATGATTCTACAGTTTTGCCAAATTCAGAAGAGAGAGAGAGAGAGAGAGAAAGGATAAAACGCAAAAAATTTTATTCTTCAATCAATTATAAGGGGATTTTATTCTAACAGAAATTGAGTTGAAGGCTTATTGTCAGTTATTTGTTACAAGAAAAGATTTCGATATCAAACTTTTTTCATATTATCCTGGAGTTTCTCCATGTTTTTTATCGTCCTTTCTTTGCCTTATTGATTCAAAGACCTCACAAAGACGAAACTTTACAACCCTCCTTTGAATATCCTAAATCGCGCGAGAATCGTCAAGCGCTTTTCACCGGAAATCAGGTTCCGATCCCATTGCGAACAATTACTCCGGTACGATTCGCAGCGAGAGATCGCCCGACGAAAACTCGAGCACCCTTCGTGGGGACGCGACGCGAGGTGTCGGGACGTCCCGGCCGGGCTCCCGCATAAAGACCGAAATTTGTACGAGCCGTTCCCCCTCCTCGCCCTGCTCCTCTTGCTTCCTCGTCTCGCCTCGCCTCGCCTCGCCTCGCCTGTTCGCCACAATAGCACGAGATATAATCCTACTTAAGGCTATTTAGCGGCATATCGCAATCGGAAATCACCCTAGCTCGAGTCGCAGTCGAGCGTCGCTCTCGAGGTCCACCGAATGTCCCGCCCTTCCCCCCTAGCACCCTTCTCTTGTTTGTCGCCACCCTTGCCTTGCGCCCCGGCGTTATTTAGTCGATATGCACCTGATGCTCGATAAACCCACGGATAAATGCACTCGCCGTGCTAACCGCAGGGATTTTCTCATCCACTTGTAGCAAACCCCTTCCTTCTTCTCCTCCTCGCATTCGGTTTGATCTTTTGCGATCTTAATTTATCCTGAACATTAAAAGATCTTATCATGATCGCAACGAAATATAATTTTTTTCGATCGATTTTAAATAAAATTAATTTCGATAAACTTTTAATTGTAAGCTTATCATCGAGATATGTTTAATGTTTGATTACGTGAATTGTTATTGGTATAAAATATTACGCGTTGATAAAAAATGGTGGGTGTCGTGGGAACTCTTATTACGAGTCCTAATGGAGGAGGGGAGGGGGGGGGGAGAGAATGATCTCACAATAACAGTCTTCATTAAACTCAGCCACAATATTAAGGAACGTAAACGAGCAGAGAGGGTCGCCGACACGCGATCCGTAGTTTATCCTCCCCTAATGTTTCACCGAATAAAAGCTCTTTCGGAGCGAACGGAGATACATGAATTGATCACGCGCTCTCCTACAGTTTTCTTGGGACCATTTTTCACAGACGGAAAAGAAAATCATAGGTCTCGCGAGATTAGAAAATACATCGAGTGTCCGAAATGCGTGTCGATTAATCGTTGTATAATTAAGAGTTTGTGGAAAAATTTTCTCTATAATCGAGTCTCGTGTGTCTTGCAGAAATTTCGCCGTGTCGAACGGCTTGATGAATCTGCCGCTCTACAACGCGACGGGATTCTGCGGCCTCTGCTTATACAAGGACACCTACGGATCGGTAACCGCCAATCGAGATCACTCCTGCGTTCCCGGCAATTCCGTCGTCATCGCCGACGAATCTCTGAAGGATCAGCCGCGTTACAGCAGCAGCGGAAGCGAGACGTCCGATAATCCGCCGAATCACATGTCCACGACTTAATTGAATCCAACACGATCGCCCTTCGTTTAAAAATACGCCTGACAATAAGTTTTAAATTCTTTTTCATGACTCCAACGATTAGTTTTGTTCCCGTATAGCCGTATATTAAGAAAAATAGTAACCGCGAAAAACAGCTTTGACATCCATCGATGCGAGAAGATTTCCATCGTTTCTTCATCTTTCTCTAGAAAAGAAAAATTGATTCTTTATAAACAAAAATTAAACTTTTCCATGTCTTTTGAGAAAATACACACATTTAGAACGATGAAAATAAAAGCCACTTTTTCTAAATTTTTTTTTTTTCAAAGGAAGTACATTTTTTATCTTTTACCACAAACGCTTATTTGCAAAAAAAACATCATTTCAACAAATTTTGATTAAAATTTCAAGAGTATTCTCCAAATATTAAAAATTAAAAAGAAATAAAAATTGAAAAATCAATTTTTTTATCCTCCTGGGGTTATGTACCTCCTTGAATGAAATATATATATTTGCGACTGATCAATTTAGTTTCTGGATAGATTCTTTATACGTGTGGAACTCTTTATACGTGCGGATATACTTCTTTATACGGAGATTTGTTTCAATCGCATTTATTTTATATTAACACTTGATAGACAGCACACTCCAAGTAATATAGATTTAAATTTTCGACTTTCGACAAATCCAGCCCATATATCTTATTAATATTTTCGCATAAACTCACATTTGCATCCTCATATTGACGTCTCTCTGGCAAGACAACATTAAAATATCTTTAAACAATGAGATTTTTTAAATATCTCAAAACATTTTCGCAAATTAATAATGATGAAAGGATAAAACGCAAAAAATTTTATTCTTCAATCAATTATAAGGGGATTTTATTCTAACAGAAATTGAGTTGAAGGCTTATTGTCAGTTATTTGTTACAAGAAAAGATTTCGATATCAAACTTTTTTCATATTATCCTGGAGTTTCTCCATGTTTTTTATCGTCCTTTCTTTGCCTTATTGATTCAAAGACCTCACAAAGACGAAACTTTACAACCCTCCTTTGAATATCCTAAATCGCGCGAGAATCGTCAAGCGCTTTTCACCGGAAATCAGGTTCCGATCCCATTGCGAACAATTACTCCGGTACGATTCGCAGCGAGAGATCGCCCGACGAAAACTCGAGCACCCTTCGTGGGGACGCGACGCGAGGTGTCGGGACGTCCCGGCCGGGCTCCCGCATAAAGACCGAAATTTGTACGAGCCGTTCCCCCTCCTCGCCCTGCTCCTCTTGCTTCCTCGTCTCGCCTCGCCTCGCCTCGCCTCGCCTGTTCGCCACAATAGCACGAGATATAATCCTACTTAAGGCTATTTAGCGGCATATCGCAATCGGAAATCACCCTAGCTCGAGTCGCAGTCGAGCGTCGCTCTCGAGGTCCACCGAATGTCCCGCCCTTCCCCCCTAGCACCCTTCTCTTGTTTGTCGCCACCCTTGCCTTGCGCCCCGGCGTTATTTAGTCGATATGCACCTGATGCTCGATAAACCCACGGATAAATGCACTCGCCGTGCTAACCGCAGGGATTTTCTCATCCACTTGTAGCAAACCCCTTCCTTCTTCTCCTCCTCGCATTCGGTTTGATCTTTTGCGATCTTAATTTATCCTGAACATTAAAAGATCTTATCATGATCGCAACGAAATATAATTTTTTTCGATCGATTTTAAATAAAATTAATTTCGATAAACTTTTAATTGTAAGCTTATCATCGAGATATGTTTAATGTTTGATTACGTGAATTGTTATTGGTATAAAATATTACGCGTTGATAAAAAATGGTGGGTGTCGTGGGAACTCTTATTACGAGTCCTAATGGAGGAGGGGAGGGGGGGGGGAGAGAATGATCTCACAATAACAGTCTTCATTAAACTCAGCCACAATATTAAGGAACGTAAACGAGCAGAGAGGGTCGCCGACACGCGATCCGTAGTTTATCCTCCCCTAATGTTTCACCGAATAAAAGCTCTTTCGGAGCGAACGGAGATACATGAATTGATCACGCGCTCTCCTACAGTTTTCTTGGGACCATTTTTCACAGACGGAAAAGAAAATCATAGGTCTCGCGAGATTAGAAAATACATCGAGTGTCCGAAATGCGTGTCGATTAATCGTTGTATAATTAAGAGTTTGTGGAAAAATTTTCTCTATAATCGAGTCTCGTGTGTCTTGCAGAAATTTCGCCGTGTCGAACGGCTTGATGAATCTGCCGCTCTACAACGCGACGGGATTCTGCGGCCTCTGCTTATACAAGGACACCTACGGATCGGTAACCGCCAATCGAGATCACTCCTGCGTTCCCGGCAATTCCGTCGTCATCGCCGACGAATCTCTGAAGGATCAGCCGCGTTACAGCAGCAGCGGAAGCGAGACGTCCGATAATCCGCCGAATCACATGTCCACGACTTAATTGAATCCAACACGATCGCCCTTCGTTTAAAAATACGCCTGACAATAAGTTTTAAATTCTTTTTCATGACTCCAACGATTAGTTTTGTTCCCGTATAGCCGTATATTAAGAAAAATAGTAACCGCGAAAAACAGCTTTGACATCCATCGATGCGAGAAGATTTCCATCGTTTCTTCATCTTTCTCTAGAAAAGAAAAATTGATTCTTTATAAACAAAAATTAAACTTTTCCATGTCTTTTGAGAAAATACACACATTTAGAACGATGAAAATAAAAGCCACTTTTTCTAAATTTTTTTTTTTTCAAAGGAAGTACATTTTTTATCTTTTACCACAAACGCTTATTTGCAAAAAAAACATCATTTCAACAAATTTTGATTAAAATTTCAAGAGTATTCTCCAAATATTAAAAATTAAAAAGATATAAAAATTGAAAAATCGATTTTTTTATCCTCCTGGGGTTATGTACCTCCTTGAATGAAATATATATATTTGCGACTGATCAATTTAGTTTCTGGATAGATTCTTTATACGTGCGGATATACTTCTTTATACGGAGATTTGTTTCAATCGCATTTATTTTATATTAACACTTGATAGACAGCACACTCCAAGTAATATAGATTAAAATTTTCGACTTTCGACAAATCCAGCCCATATATCTTATTAATATTTTCGCATAAACTCACATTTGCATCCTCATATTGACGTCTCTCTCGCAAGACAACATTAAAATATCTCTTTAAACAATGAGATTTTTTAAATATCTCAAAACATTTTCGCAAATTAATAATGATGAAATAATTCAAACCATTCAAGTTAATACATTGAGCATTAATGTTAAATAAGACATTAAAAGCAACTTCCGTTACAACCATATTAAAAAATAAATAAAATTGGCTGAAATTTGGAATATCTGTACTGTTTAAAAATATTTCAGTATTGAATTGGCATCGTAATATCATAAAGCATGCAATACTTTATAAAAATTTTTCCAATAATTGTTTTACATACAAAATTCAATTAAATGTTTCGCAAATATTGCTCGATAACTGAACATTTAATATAAAGAAAGACAGATGAACATTGGATCTGCTATGAATGAATCGAAGCACATTTGAAAGTGCTAATAAATAAAATATGCAGATTTCTGAAAAATTATCTGATAAAATTTCTTTACTAAAATTCTTTTATTTTGTAGACGCTGAATTTTATAAAAGATGATATAAAGTCACACTCGTGGATAAGAATGCTAATCAAGAATCGTTTGGATGTACAAAACTATGCTTTTCGAACATACAATCATCAATTGACAAAGTGAAGTTATGGAATCGACTTACCTTCGGAAGTTTTGTCTTGCCTCTTATTGTTCAACGCACTGAACGTAAATGTAAAATTAATTTGGGGAATAATTATATAAAATAATAAGTATTGTTACATGTGAAGAAAGTGATCCGGTTGCAATTGATTATAATAGTAACGTGTAATTATATAGTATATAGTTGCGATTATTATTTATATTAGTTGCGATTATTATTTATATAGTAATTATAATAAAAGATAATATTTCATTTTGCGCATGTTTTATTCATAATCGATGCTTAATAACAAGGGGAAAAATACATGAAACTGCAAAACACTACATACACAAATTTTTGTAATTATAAATTAATTTTCTCTCGTTTATATATCCAATTAAAAATTAAACAATTAAAAAAGAAATAGCTTAAAAAAATAAAAAATTACGTAAAATGGTTTTTCTCTTCCTTGTATTTTTTTTTGTTTCACTAATTTAATTATATTTCATTCTGTCGCAGACAAAGTAATGTATTATAATTGGTTCAAATAATTTGTTAGAATAATACGTAAGTACAATATGCAGTCGCGTGTATTTTAAGAGGAAAATGAAATGCAACTCTGTAGACTAGAAAGAAGTTTATTAAATATATAAAAATATAATTAATCCTAAATACATCGCACAATAGATCCTAAGAAATTTCTAATTTCGAAGATCTTTAAGATCTTTGCTTTATCAAAAACTTTTCAAGTATTTAATATTTTATAAATGTGAATGTAAAAATGTTTAGATCCTAACAAAACCAGATTTCAAGATTCCATATACGATCCGAGAGTCCCTAAATCATTCTAGCTTAAACCTCCAAAAGAGTATGAAAAAAGTGTGTGTTCTATAATGATCTTCAAAATTTTAAGATTTTTTTCACAAGTAAAAGCTCTTAAGATTAATATTTCTAAAATTGTAAATTTTTTGAGAATGTAGATTCTATTTAAAAATTTTAAGATTTTTTTAATTTTTATTAATGGATCTCTTTGATTTTTCTTAGAAAAATATTTGTTCTCTTGATTATTATACTCGGATTTTTGGAAGCTTGAATTCTCAAGATTCTCTAAAAAAATACCTGATCTCGAATAATAATCGAAGCGACTCGAGAAGATCTTTGATCACTAGACGCGGGGACGGATTGTATCTTGAACTTACCTCAGTTGACGATCTCGGAAGGACAGCGGCGGAGATACGTCGCTCTCTTCGGATACCAGCCCGAATGGTAAACCAGAAATTAATGAAAACGAAAGACAACAATTAATATACAATGAAAAGTAAAAGAAAGTCTCGCGATAACAAACACGCCCTGCCTGTCCCCGAGAACCAAATTGGCAACACTTTATCGTTCTTTATAATCGTCTCTTTCGCATCTTAGCTCTCGCTTCGTTAAACTCGATTAAGTCGTTTTCTCCTAAATTGACGCTTAAAATCTCGGTCAAGAACGCAGATTTTTTTTAAGTGAATTCTTTTTCTTAAATATTATCGTGTTCTCAAATTCTTAGGCAGTCTCGAGTTTTTTTAGAAGAACCTAGGACATGAAGGAATCAGTAACAAAATACGCCTGATCAATTATCCTTTTAGGAATTTTAAGTGGCAAAGTTTGAATATCGATACTCTGTACCTGAAACATCTTGGATACCGGATACAAATGGTATCAAAAGTCTCAGAAAAAGGGATGCACAACTTAAAACAATTTTTGAAAAATCTGATGCAAAAATCTAATCTAAACGGAAAGTCAGAAAAAGAAATCTTTTAAGATTCAAATTATAAATTTCTGAGAATTTATTTAACTCTTTCTCTGCCTGTTTGAAAGTTCGTTCTTTTCATAAATGCAAAAAGAATTTTTTTTTTAAATCTGAAAATTATATGTATATAAATATATATATTTTATATGCTATACAAGAATAT